TAAGTCTTGGAAATTCCATGTTCTTCGCGCATGCATGCACGCTATAAATTTCGGCTGCGCGATTAGTCAGCTCTCTTAATCCGTTGTTGGAAGCTTGGGGTTGCGTGATCAAGAAGGGTCGGCACACGAGCGAAGTAAGAGGTGTGTAGAGTAGAAGTTGGGCGACCCGACGAGCTGGTGCCGAACGCGCGGGATTGACATGGGCCACGACGGACTGTGGGCATGGGCGAATCCGACAGGCGCGGGAGGACTAAGCTGGGTGACGACTTCGTGGGTTGGTGCATGACGACGGACTGTCCGCATCGGAGATGAAGAGAGGAGGAGAGAGAGAGTTGAGGTCAATGGACGCGGGTTTGCTGTTTCTTTGCCTCTTCTCTCTCTTCATCTGTGTACATACATTTTGATTGCGGCTCCGAGCGGATGCCCGTTCTTATTTTTCGTTTCAGCTTTCTGAATTCTGGCTTGGGATTTTGCTCACACTTGTTTGTGCTATGTCTGTCCCGATTGCATTATGTGTATGAATATCGAACGTATGGATGTATAAATGTGTGGATGTGAGAACGTTTTGCTTGTCTGTACATCTTATTGACAATCCTTGTCCTTGCTTTCAGTCCGTGTCGAATCTTTGCCCACACCGGATGCAGCTGTAGATGGGATAAGAATCTGGCCCCGACAGCGATTTTGTTCTCGTTTTCGCTTGTCTCACGTTGAGGTTGTGGTATGGTTGCATCTTGCATAACCGAAACTTACGAGGCAATTAGGCGATCCAAAGTCGGGCCCCGCGAACGCCGCGCGAGAACACGTGTAAATGCGATCCGAGTCGCGTCCTTACATGCATTCCCGTGCGACGATTCGCCACCCAAACAAGGCTCGCGATGGAACCATCGTCTCGTACGAGCACGCCGAGGCGCCGCTAGATTCGCCGGGTCTACACGTGCTCGTGCGTGGTGACGATTCCCGTACACGATGACACCATGACGCGATCTTGGAACTCAGATTCGTCTTACGATCCGGATTATTTCACCCCCATAATAAACGAGCTCATAAGGACACGATATCCCTGTCACACGGAGAATCGGTTATGTCCGAGGGAATTCCRCTGTGCCACCTCTAGCGACCCTCGGTGCTCCGATTTCCCTTCTCCCGACCACACCTACTACTTCATCCASCCCGGATTCGTTGAGATTACCACCAGCTTCCCTCCCTTCCGCCTCCTTCTCCCGTATCATCAACTCAGCGTCGTTCCGTGGCCGGCCATAGCCCCCTATTGTCGACGTCGCGGCGAGCAGAGAACTCATGAATTCCGAAGGCCCAACCAAGGTCCGCGGCGACCTGCGCCACGTGGCGGCCCCCGACGGCCCAACTTTTCGGGACTGCCTCCACCACGGAGGGACTTCCCCATAACCCGTCGCCCACAATGTCCCGGTCCCTTCTGACGTGAGTTCCCTGCGCGCGGGCCCCCTTTTCGCCCAATTACATTCATATCCTTAAGACTCCCCCACTTTTCCCAAAAATCCTTGGCACACCCCTTTTCGCACTTCCAAGCCCACAATCCACTCCGATCAGGAAGTCGCGCCAGGCGTGAGGTTGGGCGTCACATCGGTCCGTTGCCCTTCGTTTCGCATGAAAGGGGGCGGGTACGTACTTGGTATCCCGTTTTCGGATCATGTCACGCCGCTCATTGCATAACTCGGAATCCGACGTAAAAGGCCTCAGCCGCGTGGCTCTTTCCTTATGTTCGTCCTCACTCCGTACTCGGTAGTGAAAGCCCTTTGATTGGTAGTGCTCGAAGCGACAACAATCGCTGCACAGAGTGTTAGGCCAATGGGGCGCCACTGTCGTCCACGGAATGACGATCAATTCGTTGAATGGCAATAGTAGATAATAAGGCGGGAAATGCGTATCGACAATGACAAAACCAGCACCAACAAAACCCGAGCACCGAGTTTCAGGAGAAAAATAGTATCGCCCGCAGATCTTGGCGACGGCTTCTCGTACGTCCCACTCGCATACATGTGTCCTTTCCTAGTTATACGGGGGGAAGGGGAGTGGCGGGGATACGGGAGGACGGCGCCTAGTCGGGTTGAGGTCGTCACTCCACATGACAATCCAATCAGATACAAAGGTTTGCCTCAATCATTCATCCTTAGTCCGACAACTGAAAAATACGCAACCTACCGATTGAGTTTTATGCGATATCTTTCAGCTACCAGTCGCCTGCGAAGCAAAGTGAGAGGAACGGAATCGTAACTTCTTTACTTCCCCACAAAGTAATTCACAGAGAGAGAGAATTCGCGATGATCGTCCGAAAGAAACCGAGGGGGCAAAATTCATATATGGCGCTACGCGACCGTTGATACAGTCGTGGCAGTTAGGGAACCCCTTATCAGCGAAAGCACGCAGAACGACCGCCTTTCGCACCCCAGTCGACCACGACACCTTCTCTTGATACACCGCCAGCAGCGCCTCTGTGACTTTCCGCACCGCCACCACACCCATAGCTTTGCCAATGCCGAAGTTTCACGTGTTGCTCTCGTACGTCTCCCCGGACGCCCATTTGTACAATGCGTACGCCACGATGTGGTCTGGCTGCAATGCCTCCCTGTAGAACGTTACACAGCGCTGCAGAAATGGCGACAGGTTTTCCATAATCTCACGAAAGACACGTGGCAAAATATGTAGCTTATGGTGGAAGTACTCTTCTGTGGCGTCGTTGGCAGGCCGCAGATCCTCCCACACCCCCCACGTCCTCCTTCTCACCCACCACCTGGGCGTGGCTCTAGGCATACCGCCACAACCCATGGCGCAACATACCTGGAAAACGGCATCGCAGATGGCAGCGGTGCCCAGCCCTACAACCGGCAGCGGCTGCATCGCCTTCCTCCTCCGTGCGTGAAGCTGCGCCTTCAATCTTCCTGCACTGCGTTCCATTTGGCAGCGCAGAAGCACAATGGTAACGGTCGCGGCAGCCGCTGCCCTTTTGACTGTTGCCAGCTTCGAACGGTTGTTGTTGGCGACATTCCCCATCGTCGCACAGGGTGCAGAAGACATCGCCTTTAACAACGTCCAACAGATTTCAGCGACACGCCAACACATGACAGAAACGCGACGTGTGACGACCAGGGGGATGGTGCGACGAAGGACGCCGTGAGAACTCCAATTTCCCGTCGCAACTCTGATGGCGGAACGGTTGTCAACGCCCTGCCACAGGCCGACCGTCATTGAAGGATGTGGTTCCACGATGATGTTGTCCACCGCCTGCCCCAGACCCCTTTCGATACTCCTACGCCACGCCACCCACTTTTGAAATTCAAATTTCGAAACCGGAGGTCCGCGCGCGCGTGTTCCTTGTTTTTCGACCCCGCCGCCGAGATTTGAAATCTCCCGCCGCCTGGAGGT